TGCAGGTGATAAAATTTCTTAGCATACTGCATGTTTTAAAAAAGTTCATATACTGAAGTTCTGTGTCCTTATCACATTCTGCATTTATACTTATGTGTCCGTATTTTTGCTAGATTATGGCGAAGAAATTTCAATTGTTATGCAAATCGATGCCTGTAGCAATATCATTATAAGAACAAGGTATTGTGTGACAAATTCAATAACAAGTATTTATATACGTTTGCTGGATTCCGAAAAGCCATCTTCTATTCATGAAAAATTTGTGATTTTTTAGTACCAAGCTGAAAGTTCGTTGGAATCTATTTTTTATGAAGAAAGTAAGATATTCTTTTCCTGTGAGGTATACTGTAAATTTCCTGTAATTTCGAGCGCATTATTCGTTCTGGCGGAGGAAAATTCTTTCTTCCTATTATTTGGCGACAATAATATCTTAGTAATAATTTTTTATGCATTAGAAGAGAATGCTTTAGAGTATATGGAGTGAAGAAGAACAGTTATTTACTCATACTCTAGAACAGTTATTTTACTCATCGAAAACCATGGAAATTCTGCAGGAGAAAGTTTATGCATCTTGCCACCAGAGGCAGCACCGGCCGTGGTCGGTTCCGCGAAAGCAAGTTTCTAACGTAACTTCAACTAAATTCAGGAATGTAAGTACGACCACGGATGCAAACCTAAGAATTTGACGATATGTTCTCCAGCACACAAGCCTAGAAAACAACCCCCTAATTACCCCCTAAATATATTTTTCGTTCCCTGAAAACCCCCGTCGTGGTCATGACAAAGGCGGAACCTGGGCCGCTGTTGGCTGATCATGCGAGGTCTCCACGAACGAACCTCCTACAACGGTTCCATGGCAAGCCGTTACCATGACGACCGTTGCATCTCGTACTCACAATGTGGACCTATAACAAGTTTCAATATCCACAAGAAATGTAACAATAACGCTTTTGATAGAACCTCAGGCAATATAAAATTAAATTTCATAGTATGATGTTATTAAATAACGAAATCGACGTTCCTGACATGAAATTCAACACCAAGTTTGATCCTCGAGTCGAGGAAATTAATTTCTTGATTATTTTTGGTGTCATGTGGAATTTCAGCTTCGGTTTTGCTGTCCCGCCTCTGCAGATTCTGTGGCAAGCCCTCCATCTCCTCTGCGAATTCGCTCCCAAAACTGGCACAATAGAAGAATAAAAATACGTCAAACACCATCAAAGCCTCGTGCATCAATGAATGAACTTTTGGAAATTCGATCCTGAAATTATGAACTAAGATCTAGCACACACATCTGACAAAAATTATGATAATAAAATATTTAGTTCAAAATTCAGGTTTTTCTTCGATCACAAGAATTCGAAATCAAATCATGAATTTTGAAAGGAGACTTCACTTACCTTCAATGCTGTTTGACGCAAGCTAATTTTTTGAAAATAACTAAACATGCTCTAAAACATCGCTACTGCTAATGAATGATGAATTAAACATCGAAAAATCGTTAAAGTTTGTATTGCGAACTTGTTCACTATTTACAGACACTGCAAAGAGAATACAGACGAGTTGAAAGCAACTTTTTTGACATATTAACATGATTTGTATTATAAACAAATGGTCAACTAGATGTGAGAAGAAATTGGACGCAAAAGTTTCTTATTTACGAAATTTCAAAGATGTGCCACAAATTGCATGGTACGAAGAGAAAAGTATAAAATCATCATTGTAATGAAATTTTATTGGTATTTACACGTTCTAAGCTGCCTATGCTTAATGAATGATCTAATTTTGAAATAACCTTGGATACGACTTGTGCCAATGTACATTTATCATCAATAAATCGGACAATGCCAGAATAACGTATTTACAGTACAGGCTACAAATGGCATACGCTCATAGAATGTGAGTCAACTAAAAAACTATTTCTTTTAAATTGAACGCTATTCCTAGCTGCAGCTTTTCTAGCTCCATTTATACATTGTGATCTAGAGTAGGTACTGTTAAGCTTACACCATATCGACAGATATTATATAAAAGTTACGATACAAAAAAGTGATTTTGAAATAATCATCTGCAACTCAAACCATTGTTTCAAATTTCTTCGAGTTTTCAGAAAATTTCCAAATGAACTACAAAGAATGCAATGCACATGTACGAATAAGAAAATATCCTCATTATAATACAGCACTATAACAAAATACTCCTATTGGCTACTCACGTACGTATATCAGTTTACTATATGACAGCGGTAATTCGGAATGGAATAAACCCTTTGCGACTTATAAGTCGTCGAAAGTTTGTCATGGATGCCTCAATACGACTCGTTTGCTGCAAAGGGTTCATTTCTCCTTCTAATTTATGGACATGCATACAATTTCCCCACACGGTAGCCAAAACATTTGAAAATCAAATCCTAACTAAAAATAACGGAGGTAAAGCGGCATCCTCTAAATATTTACATTGTGAACAACATAGCACTACACGGTTACCGTTTTCTGCTTGCCGTGCCATTAGGTTCCGAAGTGAAAATATCCTAGCATGAATTTTGTGCATCAGTTTACACAGTGAATTCGAATAACCTCGTCAATTACATTAGAATTGATCTGAATTATGGGGTGACTTGAATGTTTTGATTCGGCAAAGTGCCGAACAGAATGAGGTAGCTTCAATAAGATGCAACAAACTCGAATATTATATTGAGTAATAATCGAGTTTTCTCAATCTCTTTCCATTGTTTGTTCAAATTGTGAAATTTTTTTAAAAGAGTTTGGAAAAATTTAACACAGTAATCGACATTTCTAATCGATGAGAATAATATATTTCGAGGTGAACTGAGGCTAATTTTAAACTTAATAACAAATTCATTCCCAAATTTTACGCATAAACGAACATTTTACCGAATTTTTTTGTTTTCGTTGAGTCAAGTGCCATCCGTAGAGGATCCACAAAGACAGTATACAAGCATCGTATACAAATAACTTCCTACATCCGAACGAACGTTACTTTTGCGTGCGAAACTGTACGGAATTTTATTGCTCGGGGGACTTTATAGTTCCTTGAAAGAATACAAATTTGTCAAGTTCCTGTAATTTAGAGTAGAAATGAGTTTAACATTAAATTCATGTGCTTGAATGGAGCTTCAAAATTAGCTTGACATAACATAATAAAAAATCTAGCCTGAATTCTATTGATGTCTTGAAACGATAAATCAAATCGTGGACGTCTGAGGAAACTCTAGATAACTTATTTAGCAAGCTTATCGTTGATGAAGCCTAAGTCTACGGGGGTGGTCAATAAGATTTCAATTCAATTAGAACGGCTACAGGCATCGTTAGAAAATAACGTAAAATTTGAGTTTGGTATTCACTATTGCTGCGCTGCTACGAGGAATAAAATAAAGTTATCAATATTTATCAAGGTACAGACATATGAAATTAATATTGTTAAACTGTCACAATTAAATAATTTTTTCTGACTGTAACTTATCGCAATAAAATTTAGAAGTCAATTATTTCTTCTGAATAAACTACAAAAAAGATGAGAGGATTACCTAAGGGAAATAAATATTCTATCAAAATAAAGGAAATTGGACTGTTTAAGATATGCTGCAACAGCTCGTATACGCTTGTATGCATTATAAATTAAGGGCTTAGGTAAACTTATAAAAATACCTGTCAATTAAACTAATCAAGAACGAGAGCAGAAATTGAAGGTATTTGCCAAATTAACCGGCAAATACTCTAACACGATCACACAGGAATTACTTCCGTATGCCAACTGAGCGTCAAATGAATCAAAACATCTTGATCTATAACGGTAATGACGATGCAATAGTATCGATACAAAAATTGATTAAAAATATTAGACGATTTCAAGATTGAAAAGCATTTAAAAATTATACTGTCTACGTAATTAGCACAGTTAGTGACTGAAACACGATAGAAAATGCAGTGATGACGTTATTACGCCACTGAAAGATGTTTATTAACATTTTGTTATTTTTCTTCATATGAATTTTTGTTACGATGTATGAGGATCTACCATGATAGACACAAGATTATTGATGCATTTAATGCAGGCATTGCAATACGATAGAATTTCACTATATAATCAAACTCAACACATTCCTACAGTTACAAAGCTTCGTATACGACCACCGGAATTAATAAAGTATTGAGCGAAATGCCCTCGGGGTACACATTATAAGTCTAAAAAACCTGGCTTAATTTACACAAGAAATTCTCATTCAAAGATGAAAAATCATTTGTGACAAAAAATAGTTTGCTGAGCTAAACAAAAACACATTCTTCCTCAACGCCACATTGTTAAATATGAAAGCGCGAGATCAATGAGAGTTAAATAATCATAACTTCACAACCGACTTATTTCCATAATGTACACGAAAGTAAAACACAGTCTCTCGAGTCCTTAGCTACACTTTCGTCCACGGACGCCGTTGCTAAGCAGAAGAAATGAAATATTATATATTGAACACCAGTAGCGAAACATTGAATGGCATGTCGTATTTTTATGGTTTTGCATGTATTGATATTTGAAACACAGTTTATTCGAAAACGCGCAGCATTAGGCTTCTTGTAATTAAGAAAACAATTTTCAAGATGACAAGTACAAATAGAAAAGAAGACGTTCACTTCTGCCTTTCACAGAATGTAAATTTGAAACATTCAAACACAGTAATAAGTAGCTAACATCAAATAAATATCACTGGACTAATCAAATAAATATTATTGGACTGAAATGCATGAAGATAAAACCACAGTGATTGATTTTTAAAAAAAGTAGGAACTATTTTTATTCAGTAACTATTATTATTCCCTACCGAGCACATTAAGATTCCAAATAGTTTTTGCGACTGCCAGCAATCAGGAAATTCCTTTTATTTTCGAATACAATAATTGTGAAGTGCATCATTCACAACACCATTCAAGAAGTAAGCAGTAAATAAGAATAAATAACGCATGATCAATTAAGCGGAAGCACCACCATCTTGGATTGGCTTGCGTAAGTATTTCAGTAAGCGCGATAAAATTAAATTAAAATGAGTACTAAATTTACCTAAAAACAGTATATCTTTAACCTACTCGCATACGTTGAAAGTATACTGAGGGGTTACCTACTAATGAATGGATACAAGAAATATTCGCTAAAATATTTCTTTAAATATAAATCTATTTGGTAAATAATTAGACGTATATGGATACAGTCATTAGGTACTGGTTTAAACAGTCTATTTTACATAATCATTTACGTATAGCATTATTTGGTTGTGGTACAAGGACCATTGGATACATTCGTCGATCACTCGCCTAAATACTTCGTAAGTTACGTATACCTCCAGTTTGGTGAAGTAATTAAAAGTATACATTAAGAATAAGATAGTATACCAAAACGTCATGTCAAAGTGAAACTTTCAGTATACATCAATTGTTTTAGTAGTATACCAGATAGTTGCAAATGGACGCTCTCCTTTGGAAAGAGCGGCCATTTTTTGAGGTTGGGACTTGTCCCAAGTCCACACAGAGGAGGACTGGTATATCAATGCGTATACAAAGAGAAACGGGCAGGACTGCTGGAAGGTTCACATCCTTTCAAAATCTACGTACGTATAACTTGTTTTTCTTAGGACATCCATCATCAATTTCATGTTTATGTTATGCAGGACGCCATAAAAAAAGATATAAATTAATTTATTCATATATTATGTGAGTCACCCTTTTGATCATCAGAAACATTTTCGGCTTAAATATCTAAACACTGACCACGAATGTGCACATTTTCGAAAACACCATTGCAATAATTATGTAGCTTGGTTACACAAAATAAATAAATCCCTACCGTGTTGGATCATTATTCAAACTGTCCGCATTGCGACCATCATTCAAATTATTCCACAGGATTGCTATGTACATCATCAATAATACGTTTTCTATGAAACTGGGACAAAATCCGCAGTGTGAATTAGAGCAAATGCCTTTTCATTTCAACCTTATGAGTAAATACTTTACACACAGTGACCTGAACTGCTGAATACTTCAACATGAAACCATATGGTAGGAAAACATTCATTTTAGTTCATTATAGGATAAAGTTACGAGAGGTGGAGGTGAGCGAGTACAGGTAGGTGGGTTGCCCAGCTCCCATTTAGCCATTAAAATACCGACTGTTTTCACGAATAATTCAATTGATAATGTGGAAGATCGTGATGAGCCATGTGTTTAGGCTTGTTTGTATTTGATTGAGAATAAAGTCAAGATGTATGTAGCCACTTTCAATTGATCTCGAATATGTAAAACTGTATGCTGGGATATTTGCAGCAGCGAATTCATCTCAGCCTTAATTCAATGGACTGAATAGCCATAACCTCAAATATTATATAGCAGACGTATACACAACCAGACAGAACGCTGAAAAATTAGTTTGAGAAAGCACAACCGATTTTTAGATTCATATATGAAGACTTGATTTGCAATGACCCTGAAGCCGCTTGTTACTGAGGAGAGGTAGGAGTAGGAGTAGGAGTTTCTGATAAAGATCCGCCGTTTTCAGGCTTTGTTTTATTCTCTTTCTTCCACTTCATCCTCCTATTTTGGAACCAGATTTTGATTTGTCGTTCTGTGAGGCAGAGAGCGTGTGCGATTTCTATCCTTCGCCTCCTCGTAAGGTATCGGTTGAAGTGAAACTCCTTCTCCAGCTCCAGAGTCTGGTAGCGAGTGTACGTCTGTCGCCCACGCTTCCTCTCTGAAACAAGGAACACAATAAACGTTAGAATCACAAAAGATATTATCAGCATTAAATTTATTCCAAGTTTACATCAGAAAACGTTAATTTTTTTTCCTCATTTCGAGTGAGGAAATTAACGAGGATTGAGACCAACGCCATCTAAAACGAGAAATATCTTGACGACTCAAAACTCCACGAAGCGATCGATGTTGGACCCGAGAGACGCTTTGGCGTAGGATGAAAAAATCAAATGAAGGATCTGAAAGGATCCGTCACTTGAGCTCGTGAAAGGGGGCTTTAGAAAAGGAGAAGAGTGGAGGGGGGCTGAGGCATCCTTGCTACAGACTCCCGCACTCCTTCAAATAAATGACTCGCATTAGTTGGTGCCATACCATCCATTTTTTTCTGTCTCAGATCAGCGGGTTTAGAAGCGCGACCATTCATCATATACAGCCATGATTGGCACACCAAAGAAATACATTAAGATGCGTATACTAGTGCAAATATGCAGCTCTTTACAAAGGATTTATTTAAAGTAAAATTTCCGAATTTTGGTTTCTGGCGTCAAAATAGTAAATAATTGGAAAAATATGCATTAGCTCTCCGACAGAACAGGCAATGAATGCTTCCAAATAACCTGGATAAGATGTCACAAATTTATCTTCCCGAATGAGTTCAGGAGTATTTTTCTTTGTTTTTCTTTCTCAACAAAAAGTTAATAAATTTGAATACAAATTACACGTTTTCTATAAAATGAAGCAAAATAAGTGTATGGACAGGCATTCACGCTTCGTCTACACCAGTTGCTCATTAACATTATTTATGCCATGCAAAATGACATTTCATTCATTTAAAAGCCTATAGATTGATAAATTCGACATCAAAATCTGTTCAATCTAGTCTTAAATCACCCCAAGAGCTGCGAAGTTGTATTAAATAGTANTGCTGTGCTTAACCGCCCGGCCTCCTAGCCGATTCTGACAAGAAGCTGGCGCACAGAGCTGGGATAGAACCCGCGCCTCTCTGCTTCAATCCTGGTACTCTGAACTTCAACCACTGGTTACCCGACTTCATGTGCAACCAATACTAAATAGGTACTTGTTTTAATCACCAATTCATTTCGGAATATGCCATTACCTAATAACTCTGCTTGCTTAAAGTTGAACGCTATTGTAAACTAAGAACGTTTTCCGACTAAGCGCCAATGCTTTGTTAAAACAGAAGAGGCACCTGGCCGGGAGGAAGTCTGTCTCTTATACACATCTAGATGTGTATAAGAGACAGGTCTATAACTGTAAGGTATTTGTTAGGAACAGATTTGCAAAGTCGTGATTATTTTCAACACAAGACACAATAATGGTGGCTGCACCGTTACTTTATTATCATTATTTTTTGTTAATGGCATTGCTGACATTTTACGTCATCAATCGGTATTATATGTGTTTACTAAATGAACAAAGATTGACATCACTCCGTGAGCACTAACTGTCAACATACATGTGGGACGAAGTTGTTAACAACAGATAACAATAACAATGTGAATAATGGGCTAATTTACTGGCATGATTTTTTACCCAAATGTGTTCAAGAAAGCCGTTGATAGCGTAAAAGCAAACCATTTGAAAACACGCGTCAAGAATAATAGTTTCGCTTCGGTGGGTCGCAGGCCTTGAGATTGATTCGAAATTTCACGAGTAAATACTGACGCTGAAGCCTCATGCCGCCTGAGCAGTAGAATTTTTTGTGATAAATTCAACCATGAGAAACAGGTAAATTGAATTTTGTACACTGTATCGTACACTAAATAAATGACCGTTAAGAAAGAATAGTGTAATAAATGAGTATCTCAAAATGTAACGAAGAAAACGTAATATTTTAGTTCATTTTTAACAATAATAACTTCAAAGTATTTTGTTCATTGGCATAAATTAGACAGAGTAAAAAAAATATTGCCCTAGTCTAAGGTCAATCTTGTGAGAATCTGTTGAGATAAGTCAATATTTCCATTTGAACTGCGTCAATAAGAATTACCATTAGCTTATAAAGCTTTAGTTTGATTGAGTGGTTTAAGAATTCATTTAATTTTGAAATTCTTAATTTTCAAACGATTAGTGTAAAAAATCGAATTCAAAGAAAATAATTGTATAAATAGTCGTATTTATTAATGAACCTTGGCGGCTCAACTCCGTAGACTATTTTCCAAATATATATAAACTCGAATTAAAATAAACTCGACTTAATGGAAATAACGTTACAAAGTCAAGCCAACAAATGAGCAAAGAAAACCCGACATATTGCGAGGGTCTGAGAATGAAGAGAACAGCCATGCACGCGATCGATCTGTTGACCCATTTCACCACGACGAGTCGAGGCTCGGGTCATTCTTATTCCAACAACTCGTCCGATTTTTGGCGGGAAGCATGTGGCTTCGGCTTGAGCAAATGCATTTCATATACGGTCAGAATTTAAACATAATAAGAATCTATATATAATTTAATACGTGTTAAACAAATAGTGAATAAGCAATTAAGCAATACATAAATGGATAACAAGTAGAACAAAATATACGAATTAAAATATTATTTTTAGAAGCAATGCGTTACGTATAAATAAAGTGATTTAATAATGAGGTTGAAAAATTAATTAGACTGGCCATTATTTTCCGATTGTGTTAACCCATATATTTGCAAGAAATATTTATTGTAAGTAAATGTGGTAATTATGCAGAGTTACTAAAGTTATTCAACCGCAATATTTCTTACTATACAAAATATTTGATAATCAATTTTATACTGAAATATATCAAAATCATGGGGTGCAAAGGAACATAATTCAGTGAATACTGCTTGAAAGGTTTGGGCTATGTCAGGAAATTCAATATCAGAAAATATGAAATTCAAGGCCAAAAATATCAATACTTTCGTGATATTGAAGCGTGTATTTTACCGTACACACACCGGCGTCGAAAATAACACATACACAGCGCTGCAAACCCAAAGGCAGAAAAGCCTTAGGCCGCTCATGAATAGTTAAAAGAACAATATGGCTTCTATTTGATGTGCACCAGATACCGAGAAAAATAGCATGCCTTCTCCTAGCCGCGATAAATCATACGAGGAACAAAAAGCAGAGAAAGAAAGTAATTTATCAAAGGGAGCATAAAGACGCCTTTGTCTCGAGTTCCCCCCTCTCTGCCTCCCACCTCAGGAGGGGGGGCAGCCCTAAAGACTGTCGTGACTATCAGACAACGTCGGCCATATCGAAATGTCTTTATTAGGCGCTGCACACGCGGATTAGGCGCGAGATTAACACTTATTTGGCACTAAATATTTTCTATAAAAACGGCTCGGTGTCTAGCTCCATTTCAGTAAGAAAATATAATTATAAAATGTTTCGGTTCCCAGCTCCATTTCAGTAAGAAAATATAATTGTAAAAATGTTTCGGTTCCCAGCTCCATTTCAGTAAGAAAATATAATTATAAAAATGTTTCCGTGCCCAGGTCCATTTAAGTAAGAAATTTTATTTATGAAATACTGTACGTTCCGGTGTCCAGGTGAATTTTAGTAAGAAAATATCTTTATAAAGAAATTTTTGATGTCCAGCTCCATTTCAGTACGAAACTATACTATTAGTCTTTAAATTTCTGGTTGCCCCCACGACTGAAGCAATCGAGTGACATTACTATTCCTGTAACATTTTCTGGAAGCTTTTAAAAAAATAAGATGGATAACAGAGAGAATGAATATGACAGATAAAGTTGAAATTCAAGATCGAGAACATGGTACAATTAATTCAAGATCACGACCATGTGTACATATCACATACATATTCGTACATTGAACATCAGTAAAACTGTAATGAAAAAATAGCTTCAACAAGCAATCAGCATGGGAGCCGGATGGTCAAAATGTTTTATTTATTTAAAATGTATATCGAGCTAGAAAAATGAAGGGAAAATGAATAAAACTCGTTATTATTTTAAAAGACTGTAACAACATAATCAAGAGGCGCGCTAGATGGAGACGGAACTAAAATTTCATGGTCTGTAAACTAAAAAATATATTATAAATAAATGAATAATAAATTTGCGCAATAGCTGATGAAAACAACCAGACTCGCGAATAAAAAAAGTATTTACAGGGTTCCGAGCATCATTATTTCCTAAGCTCGTATTAACTGTTATTGAGAAAAATTATTTAGCATACGAATATTTGTGGCAATGTTTAAAAAATTTCTCGCTGATTTGAAAATTAAAAATTTGATAGTCTAATGATTTTGTTAGTTATTATTATTTAAAAATAGGGTTTGACGTGAGCCCTTGTTTTGAAGCACGGAAATTGATTATTAATAATAATTTTATAGCTGAATCAAATTATGGAGCTGAAGAAGGCCTAACCAAGATTACCACGCCTAACCAAGATTATCAGTATGTATATTATTTTACAATTTAAATAGATTTTAAATAGAAACATAATCACCATGAGGCACAACCACAATATTTTCTGAAAATTTATGTTCATAAACGAAAGTGAACCAAAGAAAAAAATTACTGAAAAATGTTAATTTTGAAGTAGTGAGAATAGGTACTATATAAAAAATTAATAGCTTTATTCATTTGACAACGAAAGCAATTTAATTATTTTGTGCTACACTGCAGCGCCCAGTAATTATAAGGTCAAGGTAGCCGAAGCTGATTGTAATCGATAAATAATCTCAAATCTGCCTCACAATTTGTTCAAATCATGCTGCAAAGATGAGTAAAGGAAAAGCAGGAAAAAAGTCACTCGGCATGAAATTTAACATGTAAAAAAATATTTGTCAGACAAGGAATTCATGAGGCGCATTGCATGAAAAATATTGCAGTAATATCTAACTGGTTATTTGCAGAAATATTCTACAAATTTTAAAATTTTCCTTCTACCTTTCGATTTGGGACCGTTTTCGTTGAAAAAGAGGCCACTATCTCGAAGATTAACAGCGTTACCATATTTTGGGTCAAAGCCAGGGTAATTTTGTCATTTTTGTGCAGTGCAGATGTAAACAACTGCTCGAATGCGCCTGCGCAACGTAATCAAGCTTCATGGATCGATAAGAAGAAGCGTTAATGAACACTAACCTCCAGATCAGAGACGTAGAGTTTTATCGAGTGACTACGATAATTTAATTTTAGCGAGCAAGTTTACTTCACCCGAATCAAGGAATGAAATGAAATGCATGGATGACCTTTCTCAAGTAANCACCCGAATCAAGGAATGAAATAAAAATGCAAGGATAACCTTCCTCAAGTAATACGGCGTAAAATATAGAAATAATACATAAGGCATAATAAAGAAGTAATACAACGTATCAATTTAAGAAATGCAACGTACTAATGATAGGTAAACGGCGAAAAAAAAAGTAAAAGCATACGGTGTATCAATGGAAGGTATGCGGTGCCTCATGAAAACATATATAGGGCTACAAAGAAGGTAAATAGTGTATCAAGGAAAACTATACGGCGTATCGAAGGTGAATTTACAGCATATTAGGAGGCAATATTCGATTTATCAAGAGAAGGTAGACGGAATATCAAAGCAATATGAACAGCGCATAAACGCATGCATGCAGCGTATATTAAGGGAAGCTCAATTCAACAAACATAGAAATGCATATATCATATGTAATGGCAAGGTTAACGCGGCGTATTTAAATGAGCTATAATGGCGTACCGGGGTAAAGTATATGGCTTATCGAGGTAAGTTATACGGCGTATCGAGTGAAGGTTTGTACAGCATCATTAGGTAAGGTATAGGGTGTACCGAGTTAAGGCTTATGCAGCGTATCGATCTAATTTATTAAGGCGTAAGGTATAGGGAGTACCGAGGTAAGGCTTATGCAGCGTATCTAAGGCGTAAGGTATAGGGTGTACCGAGATAAGGCTTATGCAGCGTATCTAAAGGTATAGGGTGTACCGAGGTAAGGCTTATGCAGCGTATCTAAGGCGTAAGGTATAGGGTGTACCGAGGTAAGGCTTATACAGCGTATCTAAGGCGTAAGGTATAGGGTGTACCGAGGTAAGGCTTATGCAGCGTATCTAAGGCGTAAAGTATAGGGTGTACCGAGGTAAGGCTCGATATAAGGCGTAAGGTATAGGGTGTACCGAGGTAAGTTACACAACGTATCAAGGAAAGGTTTATACGGCGGTGGTGCGGCGAGGGAGCGGACGCGAACTAATGGTTTACGGCGTCGGCAGGTTTGTCAACGTCAGCATCAGTGACGTCACGTCGACCAAAATGGCCGGGAATACAAAACAGAACAATAATGGACCTGCAAACGCTTTCCACCCACAAAATGGGATGAATCCAATAGAGGTAAGTCATACCTTAATTACGAAATATTTCGAACAGCCATACCCATGTTTGGTATGTCATTAAAGATGAACCACGGTGTCTGCTCGTCTATCGCCTCTGACGTGAACTGAGTTTCCGTGTCCCTGTAATGCCTCGTGATGGATGAAAGCAGTTTGTGTTTCTAGACGCATACATGTTGGCTCGGCTTGTATTTAACTGATTATGAAACGCCGCGTGAAGCTTTCGGAAATATTTCTTACAGCGACCGGCAGATAAGGTCGGTCTTACGGGGAATTATGAAAGTTAGTTATGGATTCACTAAAACTTATAAACAATTTTGGAAATATTTTGTTGGATTCAGATAACGAGAAATGGTTCATTTCGATTTTATTCCAAAAAGTCGTTAGTTTCCGCATTTCTCAAAGGATCGTAGTTCGTTCATTTTTCCCTGGTTATAATCCGAATAAAATTAAAAAACTCTCAGGAATAATTTCGAAGCGAACCCCTTTTTCCCATTCACATCCATTCATCAATATCAATAAATATTTCAGCGAGGTCAAAAAGTCCAAAAACTTAAAATACCAGGTCAGGGATATCGTTAATTTTATCCAAGTACGACGAATAATTTTTTTATCCGAGTGTGCAATGTGGGGATTAAATTGGTCTGCTTCGAACAGAGATCATGGAAAATGAAACATTATTGAGAACATTGTCGCAGCTCTCCCATCAAAAACTAAAAATTTCTGAATAAACGAGCAAAATTTGAGGCAAAATTTCAACCAGGAAACTTTTTATATTGTATTTGGTACGTAAGCAGCACCCATACAAATACAAATCCATACATTTATACAAAAAATAGTTAATGGTGGTTAAATTTCCTGGCATTTAAATAACACGACAGTCATCAGCTTTATATAGCGCTGACTTGCCGCCGCTCGTTTATCATGAATTCTAACACTAACACATTCGCAGGTTTCGATTGTTATACCTCGCAAAAGTTAGTGGCATTCAAAAAAAAGACTCAGTACTTTTGGTTTGCCTGGGCTTGCGGACGACATGATAAACGATGCAGTGCAGAACACGTATACTAACTGATGGACCAGCATTTATCAGTTTCAAGAAGCCATGGGAAAGATAAAACGTAACGGGTGCAAAAAATCTGCAAAGGAGTCAAAGGAGGGAGAGTTGCGCAAGAGTTTTTGAGTGCAAGATGAATCTGTTCTTGAAGAGGTGTTACAACGTGAGATCACAGCTCTTGATTAAGGGAATTGCTTCTTCGAAAGATCGATGGAAGTAACTTAACAGCAGAATAAATTGCCCCTGATGACTTCAAGAACATCGATGGTCAAGGGGCCAGCAGACCAAAGAGCGTTGCTTCCACGTGGTACTTCTCTACGGTGATCATGGAATTAAAAACGCACAATAAATGTCGATTCAATTTTTATCCAACCATCAAAGCAACATCGATGTGGGATTATTATTATCCAAGTTACTTTTTTACGCAGAAGAAGAAATTATGCTTAAATTCTGTCTTGAAAAAGTTTGGGAGCCCTTGAATAGATATTGCAATTGAAATTGATCGCATTTCATCCGTATAGCCTTGTCTTCTATTTATTTACTAATTTATATTTTGGAACTCACCAATTATAATTTTTAATGATTTTTGATTATTTTCACGAGCAGGAAATTTAACCGTATCGTTAATGTGAACGACATTACAAGATTTTGAACTTCGTACGAAAAAACTGACATTGCAATAGAAGACATATAAAATAAATTATAATATCGAAAGAAGGACTGGAAATTAGACGGAGATGCAAATAATGAGTAACGTCAGGGGGTGCTTTTAAATACGTGACGTCGCCGGCTGTTACGGAGGGGAGGAAGTTCAGCATTTTGGCAGCTGACACTTGATTGAATACGCGGATAACTGAACCGAGGGAAACTCGCTGCCTGCATGAGGGAACTGAGGGAACGATATGCAAAATGGTCCCACGCTCTAAAGAGAGAATATTTGGTTGTGTTTAAAAGTTTAATGCGGATATGATCTCTGCATGAATACTATAGAATTCAGCGACGAGATGTGAATATAAAATAAAAAACAAGTTCATAATATTCTACGAAAATTTGAAACGAACATTTGGTAAAAAATAGGATCATATGAATCAGAAACAACTTGGGAAAATGGACGCTTGCGTATACAAGAGGCTGAGACAAACATATATAGGGAAATAAAGAAATAATGTACGAATAATTAATCCAGACCGTCCTACTGACTTCATAAAATTCAAATTAAAATTATTTAGCTGAAAGAATAGATCGTACTGTGCAAGATATACGAAGCCAGAAGGAGGCAAGAGGGTGAAAAGTATACAAAAATTATTAGAAAAGCAGCAGAAATCATTATGACTTGTTTTAATTACACACTTTATTAATAAGACGAAAATTACAAAACTAATGAATAATTATTAAAAAACGTATTACAAATTTCGTTGCAGTTGATATCCGGTCGGCGAGCTTATTTTCATGTAATTTGTAAGATGCATAAAATTCAATTGCAATTTTTGATTATACGAAATAAATCGTTTATTTCATGGCACCTAGAAACGTGTGCCACAAAGTCACTAAAACAATCGTCAAAAATGACCACCACTTTTTAAGTTACTTGATAAATCAAAGAAAAATGTGATCATAAATTAGTGCATGAATGATAAAATTTAATTTTCTTGTCATAAGCTGTGGTGAACACACCTCAGATTTTCAAAAAGAGTGACTCAAAATAGTTTTCAATTTAATAGGAATAAAGCCACAGATTTAAGTAAAGTTTTATGACAAAAAAATAATAAATAAATTTTATCATACGAAAACAATGCCACTTTTGGGAATAAATTAGTATTTAGAAACATAAGCGCGAACTTAGATTTTGAACATTATAATTATTAATATTGTTATTTATTAGGCCGAAAATTCTCGGAAATAGAGCCGTTGGGTAAAGATTGCTTATGATAATCAAATACTACTTATTTTTTCTTACCAGCAGCTGTAGGTTGCGCGATAATAAGGTTGCAGCCCCCCGGAAACATATGAAAAAAAGAAAGAAAAACAGGAAAAATTAACAAAAAACCATGATGATAAACTTAGCAAACAGGATTTGAGATGGTGACATCCACAAACGACAAAACAATGCATGAAGTTGGGACGAGAAATAGTATGATATGTTGGACCCGACTTATATAATAATGATGAATAGGTGTAATAATTCATTCAATGGTCACTTTAAAATGTATTAATTGAGCGACAATCATTCTTGTCACTAACACTCCACGATTAATGTACAAAAAATGATTTGTGATCGTAGAAATTTATTCAGCATTCCAACGTAATATTCGACCAAAACTCAATCACGAATTTAAAATAAAATGCATGGCCTACAGGTACCTTTACAACTTCACAGTCGAAAAATTTAGTGAATAAATATTGGGTTTATTGAGGCTTCAATGCAACGTATAACTGATTGGCAAAATTTTTGAGCGCGGAGTTGTGAGCATATATGAGAACACGATATTTAGGAAAACCAAAAAAATATTCGCCCATGGAACTCGAGTATCATCACATTCAAAAGATCGACATTATTATAGTGAATAATTGTATTTAATTGACCTGTTAATTTTTTTAAATTGATGCCTGGCTGGCATGCAATTTATTACGAGTTTAGAAACTATGTTAAATCTTTCGGCGAAGCATAAAATTTCTCTGACTGCATATAAAATATGACAATAAGGGCGCATAATTAAATAGTAAAATTTTTGCAATGAAACTAAAATGAAAGTAAAATGCAATAATTTGCAATGAAGTTTTCGTACAATGAAAAAACTTGGAGAAAGGTTTCATCATAAAATATCCGTAAAACTGTTCTGTTCATCTAAATTTTAAATTGGCAAAAGATCGTGCACTTTTTCCATATTTTCCATGGCTTGCATAGTCTAGATTGCAAAGCAAAGAACCGATGAAGACTGTAATTTGTGTGAGTTATAGCCGTTGATGAACGACTATGGATGATTTAGAGTAGAGATCATCCATCATCGGCGCTCGGATGATAGACAATGTGACAAATAATTATCAGTGCACTCAAGATATCAGCTTTTGACGAACGACTTTGTGGAGCTCCTGATATATCTAACAAAATGCAATTTGATCCGTAGGATTCGAGCACTTAGATTAAAAAAAATAATAACAGCAGGAAAATCTCTTCAATGGAGCATCTCCGTTGGGTGCACAGGTTAATATTAAATCTAGCAATTCGCTACATAATGCAACATTATTCAACTCAATATTCAACCAGAAATTATTCGATAAAAATTCAGATGAAATTGGGGGTTTAGTTGAGCAAATGACGCAATCAAAACTTGTTTGAACATAGAAAAATTCTAAATTACATCAATGAATTTTACGATCGTTCTTTTACATTTAAGGTTGGAAGTCTTCCGCATAAATGCGCTTTTCCGCCAATAAGCAGTTTAAATTTTGTTGTTATACACGAAAAAATTTGTACCAACAAGGCAGATGATAAAATAACATTATATGAATGCGGCCATACTTCTAAATCACTTCAAAATCATTGAATTCTAGTAATAAATTCCGGCATAATCCAACTGAATTTCAGTTCACATTCTCTGGCTACGTTACCTGGCGGTGAAATGGAACGGCCAACGAATTTCATCAAAATCATCAAAAAAGACTGTACAGGGTTATCAATTTATTATAGGTGGAAAATTAAAAATCAACACCTGATGCTAATGGTCAAAAACTGTTATCGTTTTCTGTTCATAAGCATGAAGATGACATTGAGAATTTTAAATCGTTCTCCTAAGATGACTTCATCATACAAGGACAAAAATCTGGAATTAATGCCGTAGACGCTTTTTAATAAGACTGTAAACAAATAATATTTAATAGAGTAACTAAGAATAGTTCATATAGAGCAACACAACAATAGCTCAGCACGCAAATGAATTATTCATATCAGTAAGTTGTAGTAGAGATCCGACCGACAAGGTTGAGTTGCGAAATGGCGTCGAGGAAAATAAATATATCTTGATTTTTCTTGATTGAACATTGCCCACAATAATCTTTTGAAAAATTATTACAGAATTATTTAAGCGATCAAGCGATCCCTGAATAGAAACTTGATTTAAGTGCATAAAGATTGTTATGGGTTAATACAGATAAACGGGCTTAAGGGGGCGAAGGGGTGTGATAGAGTCAACAAAGAAAATGGGAAATTCTGATGCAGAGGGGAGAACTCGATAGACTTATCAAAAGGAGGGCAAACGCGTCTGTATAGGAATAACATTGACGTTAATCCAGACACTGTAACATTTACAGTAAAATTCAAATTTACACCCATGTACATAATTTCTGTTATATTTTAATTCCTTGAGTTTCTCAGAACATATTTTATCCTGTACGATATGACGAACATTCAATGCTATCAATGTTGATGGTCCAATTAGGACTACAATTTATAGTGCAATTAGGACTATAAAAATAATGACGAATAATGAATGAAAATACAGATTAGGTTTATTGAGGCTTGAATACAATGTATAACTGACTGTCAAAATTTCTCAATACGGAGTTGTAAGCATATATGAAAGCACGATATTTAGGAAAACCAAAAAATATTGCAGAATCTTTACTTATTTAACACCAGAAAAATTCCAGGTAAAATGATTATTTTACGAATATTGAGAAGAATTGACAATAATCTACAACTTTTAATCATGTTTATTAATTAAATTCGATGAGTAGGCAGTACAAAGTAAAGAATATCTGAAAACTAGCTTGATGGAAGGAAAGTCATGTTTATTCATGCTTAAACATATACATGTACTTTCCATAAGAAAAAAATTTATTCAACCAAAATTTGAAACAAGCAATGAAAGAAAAAAAATGGGACGTTAACCAAACTAAAGAAATGGGTGTAATATGAGAACATTCGTTTGTTTATAACAAAATATAAAATGATTCCATGATATCAAAACAACCTCAGCAAATCAAAAATTTAACAAATATTATTTAATCGCTAAAATCGACCAATTAAAAGAACTAGCCATCAACAAAATCGACGCGATCCCAAGGGACTTGGATTCCAAAGCAAAGGAGCTTCGGGTTGCTCTCTGCGATCGGATTGCCGGTCCAGCAGCTGCCACTCTAATCAATGAAGCTGATTAATGCCCGCCATTAATCAATTATCAGAAGCTCCGCAAGCCGTGTCTAGGGCTGCCGCGTCACTTCCAATCTGCGACCAGCTTAGAATCGTGTAGAATTTCTGGGCCCACACTAGCAGGGAGAACTTCTCGAGCGGTAAACTATTCCTTGATATTGAGACTGGACGTCACTTAATAGTTGTAGGTACCGAGACTGTACGTCCCTTACCAATATTATCTACCGAGACTGAACGTCACTTACTAGAAGAAGTTTTTGCGACTACTCCACGTGAATACAAAAAATAATGTAAGTTGTGAGAAATATTTTTGTAATATTTCTTGAAGTGAAGAATTATTTGAAAAACTGATGCTGCTTGAAATAAATGTACCAATGAAAAATACTGCAACAAAGTGCAATATTCATTGCACCTGATTCAACCTTCGCATTAGCGGAAGGGAAATTCTCCCGTACCATCATAAAAAATTGACATGGTATTCCGTAGCTAATTAAGCAGAGTTTACCCCACATGAAAACGTTGCAAATTTTGCTTTAACAATCATATAACATCATGCAAAATTACTTGAAATACGTCTGGCCAAAGACGCATTGCAAATTTAACCCAGGATTCGTCGCAATATTCGTTCCATCTTCTAGGTCGGAAGTTGCAGCAGCTGTCAAAGAGGAAATTGGTTCTGAGGAGCATCTCGGAGACGTGTCCCAAACCATCCATCTTTTGCAGGTCTCCAATAACAGGCCGAGATATTCGTCCCTGGCTGCATGCCACTGAGCTATAGGCTTGGCCTCTCGATGGCTCTTGAAAAATGGCTGGAGATTCGCAATTGTAAATGTATAATGCATTATATTGTGAAAATATAGGTACTCGATATGCGATAAAAAATCTGTATTATATGTATAAAAAATCGGCTATAGGCTTGGCCTCTTGATGGCTCTTGAAAAATGGCTGGAGATGCGCAATTGTAAATGCGTAATGCAACTGTATTGTGAAATTATAGGTATTCGATATGTGATAAAACCAATCGGTATTATTACGTAGTGGTGAGTGCAGTTATGAATATTGAGGTTTCGGTTATAGGAATGAAATTCTACAGTTTAGTGGATGCATATTTATGATCAACATTTACATTGAAAGTAATTATCCAAACTGTTCGATATACCTGCAAAAAAGTTAGACAGGTAATATTGCTTTAACTGCAATTTTTTTTCGTTGATGCCGAAAAAGACGCAAGCGAGTATGCACCGAAAACTTTTACGGATTAACCGAAATTAGAGTTGATAATTACTCATCAATGAATAACGAAAATAGTTTCGATACATAGGTTTCAAATAATAATTTCTTCCGCGAATCAATGAGATCTAAAGAAATCATCAACAGAAAATATTAAAATATCAATCCACACTAGCAACAAAAAATTGGCACATCCTTTGTGACGTGCGTTCAAGCATTATTCACTGCGTCCGAAAAAATGTTAATATAGGTATGCAGTCATAATATCTTCCTAGCTGCTAAAACATATCTAGGAATATTGCACGATTAACTTGGTGAAAAAATTCCATCAGATGCCTTTGTTTATATTACACGCAGACGGAGTTTGAGGATGATTATGTCAAGTGGATTTTAGTAAATAGACCAATTATAACAGAAGGAGTGAAAATAATTTTGATAAAGCCGACTGAGATATAACTTTTGTAAAACCGAATGTGCGAACATAACTTTAGTACAACTGATTGTGTGAATCTAACTTTAGTACATCCGAATGTGTGAATATAAGTTCAGTACAACCGGTGTGTGAATGAAACTTCAGTGCCACA